TTACGTGCCATATTTTTAAATAAAAGATTGAAGTACCTTTAAAAATGTTCGCAATTTTAATAAATATAGTATGCATCAACTGCTCATTTATCAAATGCATTTTTGTTTACACTTAAATAAAATGAAAGAACCCTATAAAATGAAAGTCATAAAAGCGAAAGCACATCAACAAATCCTCAGTCTGGAATTAAAAATTAATCAGATTAGTGTGACTATTTTTAGCTTTAGTACTAATGTGGAGGAAGTCATGTGTTTTATTAATCAAAATTAATATTCACGCTTTTGTTACATTGTTTTTCATGCTTTCATTTATAATTTGTACTTTGAACAAAACTAAGAAGGCAGATGCTATAAATATTTATCAAATTCATTATTAAGCACTTTTGCAGCGTCACCTTTACTGATTCAAATTAGTGTTGCATGTTGTTTGCATGCTTCAGGTTAATATTAAACTTTTTATACAGCATGAATTAGTGGCGAGTCCATTGTCGGGGCTGGGCCCTGTTTAGCGGGTGGCTAAGTGGCGATAATCATGACTGACTTTTACAACGCCCGTCTGCCAGCGGCAAATACTCGTGTACAACTCTATGGACACTCCTCTGCCACCTCGCCCCATTTACACTCACCCATTCACTCTCCTTTTGGCTGACTGCGAACACGTTTAATCTGCTTGCCACAGATTTCTATCACTGTCATTGCTGTTGTTGTTGTTGCTGTTGCTGTTGCTGTCGCTGTTGCTGCTGCTGCTGACATCGTCGCCGCCAACAGCGTGTTGCCATTGTCAGGCTGGGGCCCGTTGTCGATAGGGCTCTTGGTTTGGGCATGGATCTGGGCTTAGGTTTTGGGAGTATTGCTTTTTCCTTTGGATTAACATCAGCGCAATGTCGCTGCGCCCTGGCGCGCCGCCTTTTTTTAATGATACACAATTAGTGCGATGATAAATGGTCTGTCAAATGCAGCATTAATGCCTGACAACAACAAGAACAACCAGGAATCGACTTTCCACTGTTTTTTCTTTTTATTTTTTTCTTCACTTCTCTTTTCCATCTGTGACTCTTTTTGCCAACTGGCTCTTTGTTATAGTTCACTCATTGATATCATCAGTTTTTGTATAGTGAAATATCCACAACAGAGCAGAGAGGCACATGGACAGCGTGGGTCGCTTGCTGGCAAAAACTAATGATGGTAACGCTTCAGATATTGGATATTAATTGTTGCAAATAACAAGGTGGAGGCTTTGAGGGGAGCCTGCCACTTTGCTCGGCGACGAAATCAATTAAAATGACTGAAATAAATTGTAGACACAAAGTACATAGCCAAGACAAGACAAGACATGCCCAGCTGGATAAGCTCAACTAAGTCGTCCAGCAGTTTTGTCTGAGCGGGCATTAGGGAACTATTTCTGATTAGCCTCGTTGCCATGGCCCAATCCACTAAACCCCCAACAGGCCATAAAATATGGCATGCTGTGCAGCTCCGGTTAAGTAATTGTAATAGATACGTGTATATATACTTGTATATTTCGTATATTCCGTGCCTAAAGTTGAGTTCTTATTCACAGAACACATTTAGCTGAAATGCTGAAATGCGCAATGTCAACTTTAACAACGGCATACAACTTGGTTGATTGACTTTAATGGATGATGTCCGGCGCATATGTGTACAATGATATTGATATTGGCATTGATCCGATAGTTGGTTAGAAGCCGAATTCAATAGAGGTCACATAAGCCCTGAACTTGAATGAGTGCCTGCGGTTGGTTAATTGGAAGCTTTGAAATTTAACACTTTTTACTACATTTAAGTTGAACCTGCTGATTTTATTGAGACAATTTTAATGAATTCCTAGTTTAAGTTGTAAGGACATTACATTATTTTTCAAAAGCATATTCTTGATTTAAATTCCATGGCTTCATAAGAACAATCACTCATTTCTGCCCGTCCTATTGGGCACAATTTTTTTTCGATATTCTTACTTACATTCACTTCAAAGCTTAAAGATATACTTGTTTGTGTTAAAGTCGGTCAAAGTGCTAGGAAACCGGCAAAATCATCGCAATCGCAAATTGATAAAACCACATATCACTGTAAATTTTTAAAGTTAACTTCTAAATAGTGGAATAGACAATAGGAAAAATAATTCAATCATATTTTAAATCATTCATCTTAAAATTCACATATGAAATTTTCAAGAACATTGCAAGGAAAATCATTCATTTCCATATCAGGCTTTAGTAGAACACAATCCTCATTAAAAAAATTGTTCGGTTCAGTTTTACTAAAATGCAAAAAGGGTGCCTTACTGTTGGTTGTGTGCGATAGAAATTCGCCTTCCTGGCTGATATCATTGATGTCGGTCCAATAGTTTACCCCAGATTTCAGCCTGGACGCTAAGGCATCCAACTCATTCTGATTTTGTAGGCTGATCAAATGGCCACCAAGTATATTGCATTTTTCCACAGCTGCATGCCAACTCATCTTGACCTCGTTTTCTATAAAATAGTATTTTGTTTCTATCTTTTCAATTAATTTTATGTTCGATACTGAAGCTTTGCATGCAGCAACCTCTGTCTGCAGGCTCGACAGCTGATTCTCAATATTTTGCCATCTTTTTTCGGAATCCGCTTTCTCCTTTTCCTTATGAGTATTGATTTTTCTCTGCAATAAAGACGAGTGTTCATTATTACTCTCTTAGTTAAAGGTTACTATTTTTTTTTGTTAAATTACCAGTTCATTATCGATATTTTGCAGTTTATCTTGTAAATCCAATTTCTCTTTATCGTCATGACCATTCATTTGTTTCTGCAATAGAGCCGTGAGCTCTAAAACCGGCTTCACTACTTTACTTTCAAGTGCAGCAACCTTTTCCTCTAGAATCAACAAATGGCTCTCAATATTTTCCCACTTTTTTTGGGAATCAGTTTTCTCTATGCTCTGATGGATATTGACTCTCTTCTGCGATGCGCACGAATGCTCCAAAAGGGGCTTCACAATATCGAAGCAGTATCTGCCGCAAGTATTTTCCAGATGCCTTGATCCCTTGGCAGTCTATAAATATATTTTTTACTATATATTTTGCTTGTTCATTTATTATAGGGATAATCTTACAGAACTGACACCCAATAAAGGCGGCACTGAGATTAAAAGTGTTATTAAAATTATTCCCATCGCACTTAACAATTCCATTGCGTAGCCAAAAGAGAACTGAACAAGCAGCAGCTGTGCTTCATCTCTTTATAGAAAACAGCATCATATCAGTCAATTCAAAAAAATGATCATTAATTTTTCACTTTCAATGTTAACGATGCCTAACCTTAAGGCTATTCCAAATAAGGATCAACGGAATTCTTAGATCATCTTTATTGAAATGTTATCATGTAGTCATTTTTTTATTTGCCCAGACATTGAGATGAAACTATGTAGCTAAGATGGTAAAACTTAATTAAAAAATAATCAACATTGGGCTGCTATATCATATAGTTGTAATAGGAAGAATCGGTCATTATGAATCGTTTGTTTGTACGGAAGTCAGTATATCTAGTCATAGGCCACAACAATTGAGAAAATCCGCTTTTCTGCGAAGCTGTGTTGAGCTAAAAAAATATCAATCTATATCAATCTATTGTTGTTGCTGAAACAAGGTTAGTATCGCCACACACAACAATAATTATTATTATTAATAAATGTTGTTTATGGGCATTCTGCAGCGCCCCATTATCAGCGAATCAGTGATTTCAGTTCTGGCCTGTGAATAAATATAATTTTGTATACTCTTCAGAACCTGCGCCGTTTTAAAGCAAGAATTTGCTTCAGGTATATAAGCTCACTCGACTACAGCATTTTTTCTTATTCTTAACTGCTTATCTCTAACGTATCCAGAACAGAATATTTTGATTATCATTAATCGAATGAGCAGAGCTCTCTCTCTCTCTCTCGCTCTCTCGCACATAGTAAACAGCATTAAGCTCATAAACCAAGAAGGCTGCCCACCAAAATCCAGCTAATACCGAACCAGATTCAATTGTGCAGTTGCCAGTCAGCTGCAGCTGCAAATGCAAATTCGACTGAGAATGCAGAGGCAGATGCGATGGACAGCAGTAATCGCGACTGCTGGCATAACTGTGAATTATCATTGCCAAATCAGGCTGCCAAATCGGCTCAGATAACGCGCTGTGGCAATGGGGCATATTTGTGTGTGTCTATCCTCTATGATTCAATTCGCAGATGGGCGAACACATCAAAAACCACATAACTTCATTGACTTAGTGTATGTGTAATGTGTATGTATGTACATGAGTGTATGTGTGTGCGTGCGTTTATATATCGAATAACGCACCCGCATTGTTATCGATTTTCCAGAATGGTATGTGGGGCTAGTTTGCTGTTTAAGATTTGAGCGGCCCCCTTTCGAGCCGAGGCGCACTTAACATTTTGAACTTTGTTATTAGTTTTTGCGGTTAATTTGACACATTAATCGGCGAAAAAGATAGAGGGTGAAGGGCCGATAGAGAGAGGAACTACGACTGTCGCAGGATCAAATAGTCTCTTTTTTTAAAAAAAATTTCTCCACTTCTCTTTTCCATTTGTGACTCTTTTTGCCAACTGGCTCTTTGTTATAGTTCACTCATTGATATCATCAGTTTTTGTATAGTGAAATATCCGCAACAGAGCAGAGAGGCACATGGACAGCGTGGGTCGCTTGCTGGCAAAAACTAATGATGATAACGCTTCAGATATTGGATATTAATTGTTGCAAATAACAAGGTGGAGGCTTTGAGGGGAGCCTGCCACTTTGCTCGGCGACGAAATCAATTAAAATGACTGAAATAAATTGTAGACACAAAGTACATAGCCAAGACAAGACAAGACATGCCCAGCTGGATAAGCTCAACTAAGTCGTCCAGCAGTTTTGTCTGAGCGGGCATTAAGGAACTATTTATTTTTAATTAATTTTAAAGTTACTATTGGAATAAAAAACAGGAAAAATAATTCAAGCATATTTTAAATCATTCATCTTTCAATTCACATATGAAATTTTCAAGAACATTGCAAGGAAAATCATTCATTTCCATATCAGGCTTTAGTAGAACACAATCCTCATTAAAAAAATTGTTCGGTTCAGTTTTACTAAAATGCAAAAAGGGTGCCTTACTGTTGGTTGTGTGCGATAGAAATTCGCCTTCCTGGCTGATATCATTGATGTCGGTCCAATAGTTTACCCCAGATCTCAGCCTGGACGCTAAGGCATCCAACTCATTCCGATTTTGTAGGCTGATCAAATGACCACCAAATAGATTGCATCTCTCCCCAGCTGCATGCCAACTCATCTTGACCTCGTTTTCTATAAAATAGTATTTCGTTCCTATCTTTTCAAATAATTTTATGTTCGGTACTGAAGCATTTAACTTGCATGCAGCAACCGCTGTCTGCAGGCTCGACAGCTGATTCTCAATATTTTGCCATCTTTTTTCGGAATCCGCTTTCTCCTTCTCTTTATCGTCCTGACCATTCAGTTGTTTCTGCAATAGAGCCGTGAGCTCTAAAACCGGCTTCACTACTTTACTTTCAAGTGCAGCAACCTTTTCCTCTAGAATCAACAAATGGCTCTCAATATTTTCCCACTTTTTTTGGGAATCAGTTTTCTCTATGCTCTGATGGATATTGACTCTCTTCTGCGATGCGCACGAATGCTCCAAAAGGGGCTTCACAATATCGAAGCAGTATCTGCCGCAAGTATTTTCCAGATGCCTTGATCCCTCGGCAGTCTATAAATATATTTTTTACTATATATTTTGCTTGTTAATTTATTCTAGAGATAATCTTACAGAACTGACACCCAATAAAGGCGGCACTGAGATTAAAAGTGTTATTAAAATTATTCCCATCGCACTTAACAATTCCATTGCGTAGCCAAAAGAGAACTGAACAAGCAGCAGCTGTGCTTCATCTCTTTATAGAAAACAGCATCATATCAGTCAATCCAAAAGAATGATCATTAATTTTTCACTTTCAATGTTAACGATGCCTAACCTTAAGGCTATTCCAAAGAAGAATCAACGGAGTTCTTAGATGATCTTTATTGAAATGCTATCAAGTAGTCATTTTTTTATTTGCCCAGACATTGAGATGAAACTATGTAGCTAAGAAGCTAAAACTTAATCAAAACAATGGGCTGCTATATCATATAGTTGTAATAGGAAGAATCGGTCATTATGAATCGTTTGTTTGTACGGAAGTCAGTCTGTCTACTCGGTCACGGATACCTTGGCTTTATATTGATCGTGGATTTCTGCAAACTCATAGAATAATCATTGGAGAAAATCGTAAATTCATATATATTACATACATGCTAAATATGGGCATACTACATGCATTCTACATACATACTAAATACATTTTACATACATAGGATACACAATCGTATATTGAGTGTATACGCATTTTTTGTAGTTTTGGTTTGTATATTTAAGACGACTTATGATAGACTCGGCTGTAGGGTATCTCCTTGTTATCATTACTTGATATTTCTTTTGCGTTATCAAGCAACATAATTCTGAAAACAACAATGATTTTCATCTGCTCTGATCGCCGTCACAGTTGATGAAGAACAAGTAAGTCATAGGCCACAACAATTGGGAAAATCCGCTTTTCTGCGAAGCTGTGTTGAGCTCAAAAAATATCAATCTATACAGTTAATTGTTGTTGCTGAAACAAAACACACACAACAATAATTATTATAATTAATAAATGTTGTTTATGGGCATTCTGCAGCGCCCCATTATCAGCGAATCAGTGATTTCAGTTCTGGCCTGTGAATAAATACAATTTTGTATACTCTTCAGAACCTGCGCCGTTTAAAAGCAAAAACTTGCTACACATGAGTGTGTGCGTGTGTGTGTGTGTATATATCGAATAACGCACCCGCATTGTTATCGATTTTCCAGAATGGTATGTGGGGCTAGTTTGATGTTTAAGATTTGAGCGCCCTCCTTTCGAGCCGAGCCGCACTTAACATTTTGAACTTTGTTATTAGTTTTTGCGGTTAATTTCAATTCAAATGCAATCAGAGCGACGCTTGCCACAGTTTGCGGAACGAATGACACATTAACCGACGAAAAAGATACAGAGTGAAGGGCCGATAGAGAGGGGGACAGCGACTGTCGCAGGATCAAATAGTCTCGTATTTTATATTTTATGTCATTTGGGTTAAGTTAAGCAATTTAAGTGGATTGTGTAAATCAATCAAGTGTAAAGCTGCTAAATTAAAATGATTTCTTAAGATGTTGTCAAGTTTTGCAAACTTTAATTCCAATTAATAAGATGAAAAAACAGCTAGTTGAATTTTTTCTAGAAGAGCCATAAGATAAATGAGTTGGACGCTGATACACTTTTCACAAAATTAAATCAGCATAATACAGCTGAATTTCCACAAAGAAAAGTATACCAGTAACATTTTGATTCTAAAAACGATTTCTTACCATTGAGCTCTCCATGATAGTGTATTTATTTATTTTCCTTTTTCATAAGTTTTTATATATACTCTTGGATGGTCTTCGTTGTTGGCTAAAAATCTGAAAACTTCTTTTTCATAGTGATTATTTGTTCATTGGTTTTTTTCTTAGAAATTTCTGAAATATTTGTTAAATAAAAGTTCAAAATAAGATAATTATATTTATGGTTCTTTATTAAGCTGTGATCATTATCAATTCGTTGTTGTTTTGCTTTGAGCTTGGGTATTTTTTTTTTTTTTCGGATTTTTTGGTAATGCAATTGAATAGATTTCAAGTTACTTAGTTGCTAAGTCGAATGGCGTCGTCTAGAAGTCGAACACTGAGTAGTCAAATGTGCCATAGTCGGTATACTTCTTCTCGAAGTACTTGGCGAAGGTGTCGTGGTAGTAGATCTTGACATCCTTGAAGTAGCCATTGGGTACGAAGAAGCTGTACTCATCGATGGTGCGATCGAAGGGATAGCCGAATGGTTTGCTGTCCACAAAGCGGGTGCCGGAGCCAACACCTGATTCGTAGGTGTAGTCGAAGTTGGAGAACTGCTCGTAGTCCTCAGTGTAGGGCGAGACAAAGAAGTAGAACTGCATGGGCATACCCTCTTCCCAGCCGCGTGGCAGCACCAGACGATCGGGGAAGGCGTTGTGGGGCTCGCTCACATCCAATGGGAATTTGTAGGTGCCCTCGCTGGCAAGCATGACGTACTTGTAGAGTTCGGTGTAGGTGATGCGATCCTTAGCGGTCCAGCTGAAGTCCGAGGAGGTGCGCTTGAAGCTGTTGGTACCGGCAATGAAGGGATAGACAAAGCTATCGATCTGCACAAAGTTCCGGCCGTTGTATTTCAATGGGATGACGCGATCGAACTCATCAAACTTGGGTCCCAGGAAGACGCGGACAACACCCTTCTGTGCCTTGCTAGACTCAATGTTGAAGTCGAAGGTGAAGGGCTTGTGGTTGAGGCGAGCCTGACGGGCCAGCAGAGCCTTGTCCCAGACGAACTTGCCATCGACGAAGGTCATCTTGTCGTTGAGCAGATTGGTGGCATCAAAGTCGACGAAATCGAAGTAGGTGGTCAGCTTGCTAACGGACACATCCTTGATGGTGATGCCATCGTAGAACAGATCCTTCTGGGTGTAGGGTGCAAGGTAGAATTTGAACTTGTAGAAGACATCGGTGAACTTCTTGTAGAAAGTGTAGAAGAAGGGATCACGCATCATGGTCTCGAAGTTGAGGAACACATTAGGGAACACCTCGGAATCGAAGTAGTCAACATCGGCGAAGTACATATGCGACAGCACATAGTAGTAGTTGAAGAAGTACTTGTCGTAGGTATCGACATTGCCCTGCAGATAGTTGCCAATGAATTTGACGGCCTCGGGCTTGTGCAAATCGATGACAACACCATCGGCGGTCTTGTAGTAGCCAGTCTCCAGCACATTGTAGATGCGATCGAAGAAGCTCTGGATCTGGTAGAGCATATCGAATTTGCCGTAGGTCTCGAACTCGAAGTAATTCTTGCGGTAGCTGTAGCCAACGCCGTTGTAGTAGATCAATTGAGGATCATAGCCGTATTCGACCTGTTTGTACCAGAAGAACTCGGGGATCTCACCAAAACCGTTAGCCAATCGTTCCTGATAGTAGCGGGCCAAGATCTGTTGGACATTGTAGATCCAGAATTCGCCGCGACGATCCTTATCCAAACCGAACTGCTTGCCCTCGAGGAAGAAGGCATAGTCCATGTTGAGATAGTACCAGTATGCGTTCCAGCCCAAATCCTCGGTGAAGTAGCTCATCTTGCTCTCAGCGTTGTAGAATTCAATATCGCGAGTGTAGTCAACGGGCATGTAGAACTTGGTCAGTCCCTTCATGAAGTCGGTGTATTTGGGATCCTTGTTGTACTCGACATAGTTCTCGCGCAGGAAGAACTTATCCTCAACGTACCAGTGCTCGCCCAGACCCATCATCTTCCACCACTGCCAGGTCTTCCAGTCCTTGGTATAGAAGTAGAAGTTATCGCTGAATTCGCTAACATCCTTGTACAGGATATCCTTGTATTCCTTCTCGTACATAATCAGCTTGCTCCACACATCAAAGTCGAACTTCTCGGCCTCATAGACGAATTTGCTGTTAAAGAAGTACTGTGGGAAGATCTCATAGATCTGGGGCAGAACGAAGCCCTCGAATTCGGGCTTGTGGATGACAGCCAGGGTCAGAGCGTAGACGAACATGCCCTCATTCACATGGATACGTGCCCAGGCAACGTTCTGGCTGAAGGTTGTCCAGTCCTTGGCGTAGTAGAAGAAGTTGAACAGACCCCATGCCTGCTTGTGATGGGTCTTCACCAGAGCGCCAAAGAATTCACCTTTGGGCAGCAAGGCACCCAGTTTGTAGGACTCCCAGAATTTCTCCATATAGTAGTCGAACTCCTGCAGTGCGGGGCAAACAAGCAATTAGAAACAATGGATTCGATTTTCCATTGTTTTTGAAATCACTCACCGTGTATTGTGCCTTGTCAACGACCAAATTGTGTCCAATCTTGATGTACTCCTCGAACATGAGTGGATCTTCTGCACGGTAAAGGATCTCGCAGAAGAACTTTTGCTTTTGCAAAAATTCTTGATCGGCAACCTTCACAGTTGTTGCATGTGGCACACTAAATGCGGCCACACAGCCCACAAGGGCCAAGAGGACCAATGTCAGTTTCATCCTTGCGTTGGGTTACGATGCTCTTCTTTCTTACTGCTCCGGCTTTGGTATGCTTCAGCTCCAAACACCTAAAGACTGTTGATTTTACTGCGCTGCAGCTCCAGCTTTTATACCCTATTCACCACCGGCAAGCAGCCGATGTCCGGCATTGCACCATATCAGCATTAGACAGCAACAGCAACAGCAGCATCGTCCAAAAATAGCAAAATCATTGCATAATGCTCATTATGTAGTCTTATCTGTCATGTGTGCCACATCACAGGTGTCAGCCTTGGATCAGTGGATCAGGTGAGATAACCCAATTGCAAAGCTCACGCAGTCCAAGCTGTTGTTGCTGCATTTTGTCTCAATGGTCCACAATATTTATGTATTTGACATTCGAAATAATTCGGACGCTGCGCTGTTGATAAGTCGCATATTCTGGATGATTGTTGCTATCTGTTCAAAATACGCTTCGAATAATTATTGCCACATCGAAATTGTATATTTGATCTCAAATTGTATCTATATATATATTTAACTATTTGTACATTGTTTAAGTATATGATGAGGATTCCAATATTTATCACATGCAGCACAAGAATCAACTCACAAGGCAAATCAGATACATTAAGAATATTATATCGAATATGTTGTACCCAATAACTTAATAACTTATACGTACAGCATTGCTTTAAATCAAATGCTAGCTTGTGCAAGATATTAATGTGTGACTATGTCTTATGTGATTCGAGAATATGGTTTTCTTGTTTGTGCAGAAATAGGTGTGTGTACCTATATGTATTTAGCACACCACAAATTGATTCTATACAAGCAGTTGAGCAGCGTGATTAAACTCGCTTTCATGGCATAAAGACGTCTTCAGTTTACGACTCGCAATGCACATATATATATATATATATATATGTGGGGTGTGTTCAATTTACCTCAAATAAAACTCAAATTCAACGAAATTCTCGAAAGAAAAGAAAGAAAGGTAACAAACCAAACGTAGAGGAAAAATCAGCGAGTTGTAAAAAGTCTTCCTCTCTCTCTCTCTCTCTCTCTCTCTCTTTCTGTCTGTCAGGAGTCGGAAACGCACTGAAATAAATGCGCAATTAATTTTCATGCGAAAAACTCGAGCAGAATTTTCATTTCAAGGAAGTAAGCAGCTAATTGTTAGCAACTACATCTTGTACAATTCAATGAGCTAAATATTAGCAAGCTGTCAGGGGTTCTGTGTAGCTTAGAAACAGCGAAATAAACAGAAACACATTTCTTTTTCGCAGTAGAAACCAGTGTGTGCTATATTTTTATATATTTGTCTAAAGTGCTTTGTAAGACTGTACAAAAAGTCAATCAAAAAGCGTATATTATTTATATATATATATATACTTATATTTATTTTTTGGATTTAAGTCAATATGTTGTTATATTAAAAAAAAAAACATATAGAAATATTATTTAATTTGTCGAACTCAATCATAAATGTATTTAAAAAAATCATTTAATACAAAAAATGATGTTTTCCATCAAACATTATATTTTCACACCAAAAACTTGAAACTTCGCTTTTTGTTCTTTTACTGTGTACGCCATGTTTTACTAACAAGTTTTTTGTGAGCCATCGAAATATTGAATGTTTTTTCTTTGCCATTATAACTTCCCCCAGCAAACGGAAAGTTTGCCATACTTTGAATTAGTTGTTTTGTGTGCAATTCTTTAATTTATTTTGCGCTAGCTGCAATGATAGCAAAAAATCAAAATCGCGCAAATGAGCAAAGTTTTCTTCGCCAAAATTTTTGTGCTGTTTTTGTTTTTTTTGATGAAAAGAAAAGCTGCTGAATTTATTGCTTTTGAAATGTGGTTGTGCATAAATGTGCAACGGAAGAATAACAAACTACAACTGCAAACAGCCAGCAGGCAACAGACAACAACAATGCCAACTACTGCAAAAAAAAAAAAAAAAAAAACAAAAAAAAATAGAGTATCTAGGGAAGCAATTTTGTTGGCCATGTAACAGCTGCGGTCTGTGTTGGGTCAGAAGCCGCGAGGCCGCAACGTGAAATGAAATGAAGAAATGAAATGAAATGAAAAATCCGCACATAATTGCAAATGCGTGAGATATTTTCCAAATGGTGAAATTATGAAAATCAAATGAAAATACTTTTGCACCACCATCGCTAACGCATTTCCCTTGGTCTTGCCAACCAACAAAATGTTTTCATTTCGCTTATGGTTCGTTTGCCTTTACCCATGCCTGCTTTTATGTATTCCACTCAGGTTTGGCCCTTAGGGACATTTTGACGCCTCATTGTTGGGATAACTTTTATTTTGATGGCCCAGTAACTTGGGACATTTCCTCAAATTGCCAATTGCAAAATGTGGGCACATCAAAGAAGCTGCTTATAAATAAATAAGTTCTAATCTCACCATTGACCTTCAAACAGTCTCCCAGACAGCCTGATAAGCTCATAGTTTATGTTTGTTCCGATTAATACAAAAGTTTTTAGAAACTTGCCGTTTCCACAGCTGACTCATTTTTTAGTTTTTAGTTTCAATTAATCATCAGGTTTAAACTATTAAACAGATAAGAACTGAAAAAACTGAAAATGCTGTAAGAAGATTATAGTTTAAATATACATTTAAAAATTACTTTTATTCAGTGTACATATTCAAAAAGTTATTTTTAATTTATTATTATTAATGTTGTGACCAAATCAATTTGAATTTGGCAACTCACATATTCATAGCATTTGTAGTGTAAACCTCTTGCGTATACTTAATAAGCAGAAAGTTCTGAAAAAAGGGGAAAAGAAATGCATGTATCTATTTTTGCTTTAAATGGCTTTCAATTGACCAACAAAAAGCGGCTTACAAAAAACAATATCTTTTGTTATTTTGGCCCATATAAATAAATATAAAAAAAAAGAACTTTTGCGCTTTAAGTGTGTGTTCTGTGTGTGTGTGTGTGTCTGACCCACAAACTCGTATTTAATTGAGTTCTGCTCTTTTATGCAATATGGAATATTAATGGTCAGCAACCATATAAATGTATATAATATGAAACTATTAATCAATCTTGCAAACGCTCACATTAAAAACGAGTAGAAAAATTAAAATATAAAAAATCCACTTTCCTATACACTTTATAAATTTAATGGAGTTTACAATAGCAAACAGCAATTATAGTTTAAAACTTTTTTACTGCTTTTCATTTTGCTTGCAGCATGGGCTATATATATGTATATATATATATATATATATACTTAGTATGTTTTTTTATTGAGGCCTTTATGATGTGGGCGTGGTCTGGATAAGATTCACTGAGCCCTAAACATAAAAAGTATACATTAAAACTGCTGTTTGGAGGAGTAGAAAAAAAAATTGCACTACATGACGCTTGGGGGCACAATAGCGCAAAAGTTTCAAGTGGACTCCATGCAGGAGGCCCAGGCTGTGAGCTGGGTTTGGTTTCTGAGTGTGTGTGTGTGTGTGTGTGTGTGTTGCCATCTGTTCAGCGTTGTGGCACATATTCCACTTTTGCCTTTTATTCCATGTTGTTGGCTTAGCTAGCTGTGGCAGCCTGTGGGTCTCTGTTGGACTCCTCTTTCTATTTTTCATTGTTTTAGAACAATGTTTCCCATTTGGTTGAGCGAGCCGGCTTTGATTTTCCATCTGATTCACACACACAAACAACCCCCCTCCTCACCTTTTCCATATATCTTGCAAGTTTTATTGTGTTATTTTAGGCATTTCAAAATCTTTAAAACGCTTAATGGGTTCACCCCAAAAAAAATATAGAAAAGTTCTCAAAAGCTTTAAGCTTTTTTCATATTCAATGACGCAACAGCAGCACATTTGAAATTAATTCTGATTAATGTTGTTGTTGCTGTTGTGGCTTTTGTTGCTGCTGTTGTGGCTTTTGTTGCTGCTGCTTTGATTGTGTGGCATACGTGACGCACGACGTAGAGCAGTCAGGATGGCCGAGTGGTCTAAGGCGCTGCGTTCAGGTCGCAGTCTACTCTGTAGGCGTGGGTTCGAATCCCACTTCTGACAAGAACTTTTCGTTTTTTTTTTTTTCATTTTTGGTAAATTATATTTTGTATGGTTCGGCAAACATTATTGTTACTTACATCAAGACGTCTTGCTGTCTGAAGCATAAAAAAGTTCATAAAAAACAGCAACAAACAATTCTGAACACTTGCCAAATGCAAAACACAAACCGAAACACATCATTTCAAGGCTGTACTTGCTGTTTGTTGTTGTTGTTCTTGTTGTTGTTATGGGCGGTTGGTCGCTGGTTAAGCCCGCTGGCACTTGAAAATGTCTGTGAGCCACTTTTATTTTATTTTATTTTATTTTTTATTTTATTTTTTGAGCACATGGCGACCATTAACAAAGTTTCACTTGAAAATTAAGTTGCTTTTCTGGCTGCTGCTGCTGTGAGAGAATTCAATAAGTTTGCTGTGGGGCATGTAGCTGAGAAAGCGAAATGGAGCCAGAGCAAAAGAGAGACAGAGAGATAGACAGAGAGAGAGAGAGAGAAAGAGAGGCCGTGCAGCAATAACACAAACAGCAACAGGAAACAGTTCCAGAAAAGTTTGCGCAGGTTTTGTTCTTGCAACAGTTTCTTTTCTTTTCTTCTCTTTTCTTTTTTTTTTGTAACATGACTAGCAGGATTCGGAACCCAAAAGCAACACACTCAGGCACAAGCGAAAGCTCATAAAATATTTAACTGCATATACACATGACCCAACACTGCTAAATATGTGTGTGTGTGTGTGTGTCCGAGGGTTCGTTTGAAATCGTAGCATTGTGGAAAAAAAAAAGTGCGTTCCAAAATGTTTTCATATGTTTTTTGTTGCGTCTTTTGGTCGCTGCTGTTGATGCTGCTGCTAACAATAAAAGTTCTCTGGTCGCATATTTTTGTTCATTTCCTTTGGCTTCACATTTTCCGCCATTTGCAGCTGCGTCGACCGAATGCAAACGAGACACACAAACTGCCACACACACATACACAAACACACCTGCCCGAAAATATCGAACTCCAAAAACTCTGCCCACAATATTGGGTATATAGCGCTGGGAATTTGTAGGA